AAAGGACAACTACATATTTAAATCAAATTTCTAGAATTTGTAATTATTAACTGTAGCCATGGAGTAACCAAAGTTGATATAATCTGAATAATTATTAAAGTTCAGTCCTTAATTTAAAAAAATTAATGTGTTGGTGAGGATGTGGAGAAATTGGAACCCTTGTGCATTACTGGTAGAATGTAAAATGTGGAAAACAGTTTGGTGAGTCCTCAAAAAGTTAAACATAGCACTACCATATAACCAAGCTATTCCATTTCTAGGTATATAGCCAAAAGAATTGAAAACAGGGACTCAAACAGATGTGTACACCAATGTTCATAGTAGCATTATTCCCAATACCCAAAAGGTGGAAACAAGTCAAATGCCTATCAACAGATGAGTGAATAAAGAAAATGTAGTCTATTCATATAATGCAATTTTATTCAATCATAAGAAATGAATGTGTTTTTGACACTCGCTATATGGTGGATGAACCTTGAAGACATTGTGAAAATAAAGGAAAATGTCACTAAATAGGAGTCAGAAGGCCAATAGGGGGAGCTCTCACTCAGTTCCACTGATGCTAACTATAATAATTGCCAATTACAGACCCCAACAGAATTGTCAACAGAATGAATGATCAATTACCGGCCACAACAGAAAAGATTTACATTGCATCTCCTACAAGAAATCCACCCCCCCTCAACTCAGCTAACGAGAAACCTTCATTTCCCTGAACTCTTCTTGCCGCTCTCCAATGGGTTTTTGTTCAAAACAACTCCCGACTTCCTCTTTTTCTCTCCATAAAACAATGTTCCTCTCGTTTGTCTGTCAATTTGCCTATGGCTTTTGCTATAGCTTGCTTGTCCTGAATTACGATTCTTGGCACTTCCCTAGTAAACCCATTTGTGCTGGTAAAATAAATGGCTGTTTAAGGTCAACATTATGCTAAGTGACATAAGCCATAACAAAAGGACTAATATATGTTTCCACTTAGATGGGGTACCCAGAACAGGCCAGTTCATAGAGACAAAAAGCAGGGTAGAGATTACCAAGGAGTTAGGGAGCAGGGAATGGGAAATGTGTTTAATGGGTAGAGTTTATGGGATGATGAAAAAGATTCTGGAGATGGGTTGTGGTTATGCTTACATAACATTGGGAGTATTCTGAATGCCACTGAGTTGTATACTTATAAGTTGTTAAAAGGGTAAGTAATATGTGTGTTTTAACAAAATAGAAGTTAAAGTTTTATTAACAAATTAATGGCATACATCTACCTGCATTTAAAACTAGAATAGTGCCGAAACCGGTTTGGCTCAGTGGATAGAGCGTTGGCCTGCGGACTGAAAGGTCCCAGGTTCGATTCCGGTCAAGGGCATGTACCTGGGTTGTGGGCACATCCCCAGGAGGAGATGTGCAGGAGGCAGCTGATCGATGTTTCTCTCTCATCGATGTTTCTAACTCTCTATCTCTCTCCCTTCCTCTCTGTAAAAAATCAATAAAATATATTTAAAAAAAAAATAAAATAAATAAAACTAGAATAGTATGAGGGTGGGGCAGGGCTGCAATCCTCATTTTGATATTTTTTAAATGTGTCCTATTATCTTTGTCTGTAGGTGGGTTCACAAGGGCAGCACTGTGTCTCCTGAAATCAACAGGCGGTCCCTCTCTCACTTCATCACTCAACAAGTATTTATTGAGCATCTAACATTGGGCAAGCACTGTTGTAGATGCTGGATGGTGGTGTGCAGAGGATAGTCATGAACAAAACAAGTCCTTGCACCCAGGGAACTTATATTCTACTTGGAAGATAAAGGTAATAAGTAGACACATGAGTGTGTAATATATCAGGTAGAGATAAGTGCAGTGAAGAAGAGGAATTACTTGATAATCTTTCATTAAAGAATTTTGTATCTGTGTTCATATGGAATATTGATCTGTGAAGTCTTTCCTTGTGATAACTCTGATTTTGGTGTCAGGGCAATGCTGGCCTTATAAAGCGAGCTGGGAAGTGTCCCCTCTTCTGTTTTCTAAGAAAATGTATGTATGATCGGTATTATTTCTTCCTTAACTTTGATAGAATTCACTAGTGAACCACCTGGATCTGGAAGTTCCTTTGTGGGTAGGTTTTTTTTAAAAATATTTTTTTATTTACTTCAGAGAGGAAGGGAGAGGGAGAGATAGAAACATCCATAATGAGAGAGAATTGTGGATCAGCTGCCTCCTGCATGCCCCCTACTGGGGATCAATCATGTGCCCTGACCAGAAATTGAACCGTGACCTCCTGGTTCATAGGTCGACACTCAACCACTGAGCCATGCCAGCCAGGCATTTTGTGGGTAGGTTTTAATTTATGAATTAAATTTCTTTAATACACATAGGACTATTCTGTTTCTATTTCTTCTTGAGTCATTTTTGCAACAGCAGGCATGATTGGCTTATTGAAAACACTTAACCACCTTGTTTGTGGTAAAGACCTATTGATTTGGGGGTACTCACCATGTGCTGAACATTGTGTCCAACCTGCACAGGCTTCATCTGTAGGTGTCACCATTGTCTCTGTGATACAGCAATCAGCATTTCTCCTTTGCTTCAGCACATAAGCTGCTTCTGAAAGTGGTGGAACGGCTGAGGGCCTCTGTGCTGGCGACATGTAGAATGGAAGGCAGACGACACCTTGAGGTAAGTTCTCAGCCTGACAAAGGCCTATTTCCCTGCTCAAACACTTAACAACACCCTTCAAGCCAAAATCCTGGAGCTAATGTGAAGGGTGGGCCCTGGCTTTTTGCTCTGTGAGCCACTTTTCTCTGACCGGGGCTCTCTTATTATTTTTTTAAAAGATGTTTTATTGATTTTGAGAGACAGAGAGAGAGAGAGAGAGAGAGAGAGACATCGATCGGCTGCCTCTCATGTGTGCCCTGACCAGGAATCAAACCCGAGACCTAGGTATGTGACCTGACTGGGAATCAAACCCGCAACCTTTTTGGTGTACAGGACAATGCTCACCAACTGAGCAACCCGGCAAGGCTGGCACCGCCTCTTCTTTTATCCACTTGTCTGTCAATGGACACTTAGGTCGCCTCCCTGTCTTGGCCATTGTAAACAATGCTGCAGCGATCACAAAGCTGCATGTCTTTACTTTCGCTTATTTACTTATTGATGAGAAACATCCATTTGCTATTCCATTTATTTATGCATTCATTGGTTGCTTTTTAAAAAATATATATTTTATTGATTTTTTACAGAGAGGAAGGGAGAGAGACAGAGAGCCAGAAACATCGATCAGCTGCTTCCTGCACACCTCCCACTGGGGATGTACCCGCAACCCAGGTACATGCCCTTGACCGGAATCGAACCTGGGACCTTTCAGTCTGCAGGCCGACTCTCTATCCACTGAGCCAAACTGGTCAGGGCCATTGGTTGCTTCTTGTATGTGCCCTGGCCAGAGATCGAACCCCCAACCTTGGCAGATCAGAACAACACTCTAATCAAAAGAGAGAGAGCTACCCAGCCAGGGCTAGCATGTCTTTTCAATTAGTGTTTTGGGTTTCTTCGGATAAGTACTCAGAAGTGGAATTCCTAAGTTCTTTTTTGTCTGTTAAAGCCTTTGTTTTAATGTCTATATTTTGTCTGATATAAGTATTGCTACCCCAGCTTTTTTTTTTCAATTCCATTTGCACGAAATATCTTTTTCCATCCCTTTACTTTTTTTCTTTTTTTTAATCCTCATCAAAAGGATACTTTTCCCATTGGTTTCTAGAGAGTGGAAGGGAGGGAGGAGGGGGAAAGAGACAGAGAAAAACATCGATGTGAGAGAGATACATCCATTGGCTACCTCCAGCATGTGCCCCTACTGGGGCTGGGGAAACTGCAACTGAGGTACATGACCTTGACTGGGAATTGAACCTGCAACCCTTCAATCTACAGGACAATACTCTAACCACTGAGGAAACTGGCCAGGGCTCCATCCCTTTACTTTTAACCTGTGTGCATCTTTCAGTCTGAACTGTGTTTCTGTAGGCAGAATATTGGCCAAATAAAGTTGATAATTTTGTATGTCCCTTGAATAATGTTATAAAAATCCAAATGGCCCTTGGCAGAAAAGAGGTTCCCCACCCCTGCTCTAAATCTTTTCTCAAGTGGTGTACTTCCAGCCAGGCCTGCCCTGACCACCCTATTTAAAACTGCAACCTACCTGCCCATCTCCTTTCCCTTGTGCCTTCTTTTTGGTTTCCCCAAACACTTACCTGTCTTTAATATATTGAATAATTTACTTTATGACATATTTACTGTTTGTTACATACACACGTTTTTCCTCCCAACCTCCAAGAATGTAAGCTCTATGAGGGCAAGGTTCTTTATTTAGTGACTAGAGGCCCAATGCACGACATTCGTGCACGGCGGAGGTAGTGGGGGGGTTCCCCTCAGCCAACCCTGCGCCCTCTCACAGTCCAGGACCCCTCGGGGGATGTCCGCCTGCTGGCTTAAACCCTGCAGGCCTAAGCCAGCAGGCAGACATCCCCCGAGGGGTCCTTAGTGCTGCCACCACTGCTGTGCTCGCCAGCTGTGAGCCCAGCTTCTGGCTGAGCAGCACTCCCCCTGTGGGAGCACACTGACCATCAGGGGGCAGCTCCTGCTCAAGCGTCTGCCCCCTGGTGGTCAGTGTGCATCATAGCCACTGGTCATTCAGCTGTTTGGTCAATTTGCATATTAGCCTTTTATTATACAGGATGTAGTCCACAACCCAGGAACAGTACCTGACACATGGTCTGAATGAATAATGTTGTATTGTTCTTATAACTACAAACTTAACATACAAGACAACCTAGAAATACTCTGGAGTCCCCATAAGTAAGGAATGAAGTCCTGTCACAGTCCCACCCAATTCTCCAGTCTCCCAAGCCTTCCGGACCTGCCCTCTCCCCGCCATCGACACCCCCCACAGCCACTAGGAGACGCGGCAGGCCCGCCACCCCCAAAGCACAAACACTAGTACCAAGTGACCCGCGCGGCGCCCACGTGACTGGCGTCGCACCCGGTGAGCGTCACGTGACGGACTCAGCTTTCCTCCAATCGTTGTGCATGTTGTGGCGATTCCACCCAGGACCCGGCCCGAGATTTAAAACACCCGATTCTCCTGCCAGCCAAACGGGCCGTCCTCCCGCTCCCAGCTGGGCAGTGGGGTCTTTCAAAGGTCCTACTCTGGCGTGGCACCGGGAAGCCCGGGCTTAGAACGCGCTCGGTCCCGGAAGTGACGTCTCCCAGAGGGGCCGGAAGTGGCAGTGGAGGGAGGGAAGATGGCGGAGGTGGTGAGTCCGGTGCCCGGGGCGGGGCGGAGGGAGCCAGGGGAGGTGGGTAGAGCCCGAGGACCCCCAGTAGCCGACCCTGGCGCCGCGCTGTCTCCCCAGGGGGAGATAATCGAAGGCTGCCGCCTGCCGGTGCTGCGGCGGAACCAGGACAACGAAGATGAGTGGCGTGAGTGACGTCGGGGGGCGGGGCTAAGCGACCCGAGGGCTAGGGGCGGGAGGGAGTCAACCGAACCCTCGGGAGGAGGAGGAACCTCGGGAATTCTGGGGCGGGCGGGGCGCAGATACACAGGAGGGGCGTGGCTTGTCGCGGCTCCGCGATGGGTAGGGCGGGGCTTGCAGGGGGTGGCACTGGGTGACAAGGGGCTTGGGCGAGAGCTGCCTAGTGCTGGGCTTAGAGATCGGGCTTGGGAGTGTATTCAGGTCGTAGAAGGGTGGCGCCTCCGGCCTGACCCTTCCATGGCCCCTATGCTGTTCCCCAGCCCTGGCCGAGATCCTGAGCGTGAAGGACATCAGTGGCAGGAAGCTTTTCTACGTTCATTACATTGACTGTGAGTGCCGGGCTGGGGTAAGGAGGGGCCGCTGGGTAGAGTTGGGGGATGGTCTCTGGCCTTCCTTCCTGAGCCATCCCCACTGCTGCAGTCAACAAACGCCTGGATGAATGGGTAACCCACGAACGGCTGGACCTGAAGAAGATTCAGTTCCCTAAGAAAGAGGCCAAGACCCCCACCAAGAACGGACTTCCTGGGTCCCGCCCTGGCTCTCCAGAGAGAGAGGTGGTGAGTAGGTCCCCTACTTCACCTCTTCTCTCCTGCCTCCTACTTCTCTCATCTCTTGGCTTCAGTGGTTCCTGGATGGGCTGGAGGCAGCACCCTCCCATCCTGGTTTCGGCTTGCAGAGGATGGGGACCAAATCGCAGATGTAGCTTCCAGAGTCCAGCGGCTATTCCTGTGTCCTTGAGAGGGAGGGGTTTGATGACTCCATGCTGAGGGGCCCCCACTCCCCTGCCCCATCCCACCACCATCCCCACCCCAGAGGAAGACCCTGGACCTATCTCTACAGCCGGCCTCCGCGCAGGCCAGCGGGAAGACCTTGCCAATCCCGGTCCAGATCACTCTCCGCTTCAACCTGCCTAAGGAGCGGGAGGCCATTCCCGGTGGTGAGCCCGACCAGCCGCTCTCCTCCAGCTCCTGTCTGCAGCCCAACCACCGCTCAACGGTACCCTCAGCAATTCCAGGGACCTTGCTTTCCTCTCAGGTCCCACCTTCTCTACCTTCTGACCCACCTTTCTTGGTTTCTCTCTGCAGAAACGGAAGGTGGAGGTGGTTTCACCAGCAACTCCAGTGCCCAGCGAGACAGCCCCAGCCTCAGTTTTTCCTCAGGTGAGTCCTCCAAACCACTTTTTCTCCCCTTCCTTTCTTCTACCTTCTGGTAGCCCCTTTCAGACGCATCTCACAGCCACTTCTATTCCTGTCATCTCATCTACAGAATGGATCAGCCCGCCGGGCAGTGGCAGCTCAGCCGGGACGGAAGCGAAAATCAAATTGCTTGGGCACTGATGAGGTAGGTCTCAGGAAGAGGGGAGCTGAGTAAAAAGGAAGGGACATAGGCAGGTGGAGAGTTTAGTGGCTAGTTTAAAAATATACAACAGTGGTGGGCAGCCATGGTGGTGCTATTAGGAGCTAAGCCGAACTGGTTGGCAATCTTTCCAAAGTTTTCAATGAAAACTTTATAAATCTTGGTTTCTTTATCTGGAGGGTGGGGGTTATATAGTACCTCCCCCACAGGGTTGCTGTTAGGCTTGAACAAGAGAACCTGGGGGCGGGGGGGCAGTGCTGTGTGAGCTGTCGTCTCCTGTAACCCAGTGCCTTTCACTGGCCCTGGGCAGGACTCCCAGGACAGCTCAGATGGAATACCATCAGCTCCGCGCATGACTGGGAGCCTGGTGTCTGACCGGAGCCACGACGACATCGTCACCCGGATGAAGAACATTGAGTGCATCGAGCTGGGCCGGCACCGCCTCAAGCCGTGGTACTTTTCCCCGTACCCACAGGAGCTCACCACACTGCCAGTCCTCTATCTCTGCGAGTTCTGCCTCAAGTATGGCCGTAGCCTCAAGTGTCTGCAGCGTCACTTGGTATGAAGGGTCCCAGGTACTGCCCTACTACCCCCCCATCCTTCGCCACCCCTGATCCTCCTCTCTTCCTCAGACCAAGTGTGACCTGCGCCATCCTCCAGGCAACGAGATTTACCGCAAAGGCACCATCTCCTTCTTTGAGATTGATGGACGTAAGAATAAGGTCAGTGACTGAGGCACTTGGAGTGCCTTGGAACTTGGAGTCTGGGGGAAGTCAAATGAGAAGCTTCTTCCTTAGGAAAATACCTGTCTGGCCAACAAGTTGGCTCACCCCATTTTTATTGAGTTCCTGCTGAAGGGCAGGTGCTGGGAGATATAAACATGACCAGGAATTAGACAAAAATCTCTGCTGAGAGCTCACAGTCCATGGAGGAAACAGACACACCAATTGCCACTTTATTTTTTTTTTAATCCTCATCCGAATAACATTTTTTCCATTGATTTTTAGAGAGAGGGAAAGACAGAGAAATGTCAATGTGAGAGAAACACATCGATTGGTTGCCTCCTGCACGCATGCCGACTGGGGCTTGGGTCAGGGCGGAGCCCTGCAACTGAGGTATGTGCCCTTGACCGGAATCGAACCCGGAACCCTTCGGTCTCCAGGCCGAGACTCTATCCACAGAGCCAAACCAGCCAGGCCCCATGACCACATTAGATCTCCCAGTGTGTTAAGTATCCTGAAGCAAAGGGTGGGTTATTAGGACCCAGAGGAGGTAGTCACCAACGCTTCACAGAAGAGGTGACTTTTGAGCCTTGACGCGAAAGACAAGGTGGGTAAGGGACTCGCAAGCAGTGGGGTTCTGAAGGGCAGGCGTGGATGCATAGTGATAGTAGGTGTTGAAGGGCAGAGGGGATGAGGGAAAGCTGTTACAAGGAACAGAGCTCAGGAGGTGGGAATGAGGCCAGTTGGGGACACTGTAAGTTTGAAGCTTCAAGCCTGCTTTAGCCTGTGGTTGTGGGGAGGAGGGTAACCTGGAGGGACTGTTGAGAGACTCCCCCATTCCTGGGGCCTAGAAGGTGGTGAGGGAGAGGGAGAGGCAGGCACCCTGACAGGCAGGGGAGAGCTCTGGCCTGGGAGCTTGAGAGGAAGAGCTGCTCTAACTACTGTTCTGTGTTAAGGGTGGACTTGGCATCCAGGCGGCAGTGCCCAGCAGGTAGTTAAAAAGTCATGTCTGAAACGCAGGATAAATTATGTGCAGAGGTAAAATAGCAAAATTAATAAGTTTTTTAGGCAGGGGGCTCCTAAGGCTACTTTTTTAAGTTCCAGAATGCCTTACCTCAGTTGTAGACAATCAGGTCCGTTCCCAAGAGGTGTGACTGTAGGCAAAAGAATTGTATTTTTTGACAGCCAGACTCCTAAGACTGTCACATGGGCAGAGCTGCTCTCATAAGCCTCGTCAGTCTTCTTGGTACATGTCAGTTTGTTGACTGTTGTTAACTATAGGGGAGGGCAGTGGAGGTCCCCCAGGGCCAATGGGCTGGTCCATGGGCTTCTCAACACTGCACAGTGGCCCTGCCTGATGGAATCGGTCGGGTCTCAGGGAGGAACGCTTGTCCCCTATCGGCCTGGGCTGTCCCATGGCCATGCTGGAATCCGGGCACCGAGCCGTGACAGGCCTTTTCCTTTGCAGAGTTATTCCCAGAACCTGTGTCTTCTGGCCAAGTGTTTCCTCGACCACAAGACCTTGTACTACGACACAGACCCTTTCCTCTTCTACGTCATGACGGAGTACGACTGCAAGGGCTTCCACATTGTGGGCTACTTCTCCAAGGTGAGCTCCTCCTGCCTCTCCCTCAGCCCTGCTCTGCCCTGGGCCAGGCCCCTCCCCTCACACTCACCTGCCACTTTTCAGGAAAAGGAATCGACAGAAGACTACAACGTGGCCTGCATCCTGACCCTGCCTCCCTACCAGCGTCGGGGCTACGGCAAGCTGCTGATTGAATTCAGTGAGTACTTGCACTCATGGCCAGGGGCTGGGGCGCCAGTGCTCCCATCGCATATGCTGCCTCGCTGTGATTCTCAGCCCAGTCACTTGGCCAGAAATCAAGATGGGACTCTTCCAAGATGCTTTCATTCTCAGGTTGACTGCCCTGCTTGTTTGGATTAGGTTCTCAGCCCCTCACTGTTCCTTGACCAAGGTTCTAAGCATCACCCAGCTTTCCCCAAATTTGACTCATCTTGCCCAGGGCCATGAGCTAAAGCCGAGTGAGCCGCTGTTGCTCATCCCTCTGCTACTGTATTGTCATGTAAGTTCCTGGATGAGGACCAGTTGATTCCTGAGCTTGGTAGACAGATGTTCAAAATGCTGTTAATTCAGCAAAGAGATGGTAACTCTGACTTGCATGGTTATGGCCCATATTCCTCGTATTCTGTCAGGTCACTCTCTTAAAGCCCAGAAGGGACTCTGCCCCTCATCCTTCATGAGCTCGTCAGTGTCCCCTCCAATCCCAAGTCTCCCTTCTGCTTCCCAGCCTCCCTCTCCATTCTCTTCAACTCACCATTCACTGAGATAACCGAGCTGAGCGGGAAGACGGGGAGGGAGCCTTAGCTGTTTGGAAAGACAGAGGCTGGACTTGGCCGGGTCATGGCCCACTTGAGAAATGTTATTGGTAGAACGATGCTACGACGTGTCACATCTTCAGAAAGCCCTCAGCCTGGTAAAGCAGGTGATGCTGAACAAAGTCCTGGAGGTCAGACCCCAATGGAGAGGGGGTGCAGGCAGGGCTACCAAGGACATGTGCTGTTTGGCAGACAAGGTGGGAGGGTGTTAGGAGGGGGAGGAGGGGCACTGATGAGGGGCTAGGAGTTCCCTACAGCTGAGGAGGCCAGTGTGGTGTCCAGTTGATCAGTCAGGACTTTACATGCACCATGACCCAGCAAGGTTAAGTAGGAACCCAGTGTGTTCCATCCTCTTCCGTGCTTCCTCTCTCCAAAGCACGACCCTCTGTCCTCAACACTGGCTTTCTCGGTGGAAGTCATGAGGTTGGGCAAGAGGGCCAGACTGGCTGATAAAGATGAACCGAGGAGGAAAGCAGAACGGGCTATGGTGCAACACAAAGCGGTTATGACTGAGGATGAGGAAGGGCGGAGACATCCCAGGGCCCTGACGGGCAAAGGCTGCACTGCCAAGGAACGTGAGGCCATGCAGTGTTTTGCAGGTCTGAGTTCTCACCAGGAACTGCCAGTGGTCAGCAGGCGAGAGGAGGGCAGAGCAGCCGAGAGTGGGAGGGAGAGAACTGAGAGGGAGGACTGTCTTCCCTGACTTGGGAAGCTCCTTGGTGCTCCTTGCAGCCTCACAACCACCTGGTCAGGTCACAGCTGGGGGGAGCACCTCAGGCCTGGCCCACAGGTGGGGTCTGCTCTGCTTCCCTCCTCACACACCCAAGTACAGAGCGAGTGTGGGATGGCACAGGAAAAGCGGAGGCACTTTCTCTAGTAGCCATTTTCTCTGCCTCCCCATACTCCACCTCCAAACCCTTACCCTAACCCAGCCGTGGGCCGCGGGCCGGATCCTGCCCGTTTGAAATGAATAAAACTAAAAAAAAGAAAAAGACCGTACCCTTTTATGTAATGATGTTTACTTTGAATTTATATTAGTTCACACAAACACTCCATCCATGCTTTTGTTCCGGCCTCCGGTCCAGTTTAAGAACCCATTGTGGCCCTCGAGTCAAAAAGTTTGCCCACCCCTGGGCTAGGCCTACCACCCCTCCTAGCTGGTTGTAGCCATTTCTCTCAGTACCTGTCCCTGTGCTTGGCACACGGGTGAAGAGTGTGTGCTCATTAGTCCTTTATGAGGAAACAGGCACAGAGCAGACAAGCCACACAGCCTGTCACAGAACCACCCCACAGCAGGGCCTGATGGGAAGCAGGCAGTCAGCCTCGGCATTGGTTTCACGAAGCTGTGACCCTGTACTCATTCCCTTCCTCTCCGATGCTTTAGGTTATGAACTCTCCAAAGTGGAAGGGAAAACGGGGACCCCTGAGAAGCCCCTCTCGGACCTTGGCCTCCTGTCCTACCGAAGCTACTGGTCCCAGACCATCCTGGAGATTCTGATGGGACTGAAGTCTGAGAGTGGGGAGAGGCCACAGATTACCATCAAGTGAGCCTGCCCCCCCTCCCCCCCCCGCGGGGGTGCATGGCGTGGCCGGTGTTCCCAGGCCTCTCACCCTGAGCTCCGGGGGCAAAGACGAAGGCCCCAGGGAACCTGGTCTTTGTCCCCCCACAGTGAGATCAGTGAGATCACCAGCATCAAGAAGGAGGACGTCATCTCCACGCTCCAGTACCTCAACCTCATCAACTACTACAAGGTAGGGAGGCGGGCAGGGACAGGTGTGTGGAGGTGCAGCGTGCAAGCCCATGGGCTGACCTGCCTTGTCCCATCTCCTGCCCAGGGCCAGTATATCCTCACGTTGTCAGAGGACATCGTGGATGGGCACGAACGGGCTATGCTCAAGCGACTCCTCCGCATCGACTCCAAGTGTCTGCACTTCACTCCCAAGGACTGGAGCAAGAGGGGGAAGTGGTGACCAGGCACCGCCCATGGCAGCGCCAACAACGCTGGCACAACTGGAGCTGACAGCCCATCCCACCCCCCGCCCAGGGCCCCCCAGGGGGACACTAAGGGAGACGGACCAGGCTGAGGACAGTTCCACAAGGAGAGGGCAGGCCTGGGAAGGGCTGGTTGGTGCCCAGCACCAAAGTGAGCTCAGGGCTCAGGTCAACTCTAAGGCCAGCTGGCTGCAGGCCCAGGCTTGCTGTGAACCGAGGACCAGAGGGAGCCAGGCAGACGTGTACAGTGAGGTGGGGGTGGGGCACTATGTACAGAGGGTTGGTGGCTGTAAAAAAATTTGTAAAGTAGGAGTTGGGGGTGGGTATTGGCTACAAAATTCTGGCCTCTCGCCCCAGTGCCTGTCCTGCCCCTGCCCCTCCCCCCCCCTCCCCCCTCGCCCCTGTAATAAACTGTTTCTATGGGCCGGAGCCATGACATGTTCTTGTGGGAGAAAGAGCAGCTCCAAGGTGTGGGCAAACTCAGGGACGCCGTGGAAGAGCTCATTTATTGGGGTGATGGAATCAGTGGATCCAGAGTGGAGAGCTGGTTTATTGGGGTGAAGGGATCGGTGGCTTCCAGTTTCAAGCTCTGGTTCAGTCCTGCGGCACCTGTGCATGGATCTGCAACAGGGGTCACTTTTACTACTGGATTTCTGAGACGGGGGGGCTGGGTGGTCCACCTACTCTGGAGGGACCCAGCTCCCCAGAATGACAGCCCTTCCTACGGGGGGGGGGGGGGGGGGCAGCCCTAACCCAGTCAGTCTAACCTCCCAGTTAGAGCCCCATTGTACCAGCAGCCCGAAAGCCCAAGGCCGCGTGGGGCGGGACTCTAGACAGCCCAGCGAATAAGCCAGAGGCGGCCCACGCATCTACTCACCGCTTGGGCGAGGCTGGGCCAGGTCAGGGCCGCACGCACTTTGGCATCCGGGCCAGGGACGGTCTCCAGGCCCCACAGGGTGAAGCGGCGGAAACTGGCGGAGGCGCCCATGAAGCGGTCCTGGGGGAGGCGTCGGGCTCAGCGTGGGGCCGCCGCCCCCGCCCGCGCCCCCGGCCACCCCCAGGCCCCTGGGCTCACGAAGTCCCGCTCCAGCGCCTCCGGGGGTTCCACCAGCTCCTGCTCGTCACTGTCCGATCCCCCTGGGAAGTCCTGCTTCCCCAGCGACTTCTCTTCCATCGTCATCACGTATCCCAGCAGGCCGGGCGGCACCTCCACCTCCTCGCCCCGTAGACGGCGGCCCCGAAACGACACTTCGAGTCCTGGATAAGGGGGTCGTGGGGCCTCAGTGAGGGCCTGGTCCCTGCCCAACGGGGCAACCCCGGGGGCGGCTCTCCCGCCGCCTCCGGTGGACCACGGTTCCCAGGAGCCCTCGCGCCCGTCCTCGCCGAAGAGAGCGCGGCGCCGGCGCGGGGGCTACCGGGAGCCGTAGTCCGGCCGCGAGCGCTCACCGTCGGAACCCTGACGGATGGCCGGGGTGAAAAAGCGCCCCACAGGGGCGGGCCGGTTAACCCCGACTTCGCAGGGCAGAAGGTGCAGCGTGATAGGGGGGGCGCTGCGCAGAGTGACGGGGCGTAGGTGGATGCGGTGCTTCTCCACGTCTTCCTCGTCGCCGCTCTCCATCCTCCGCGGGTTCCGTGGCTCCCGGACTGAGGCCAGAGCTGGCGCGTAAAGCGCGCGAAGCCTGTCGGGAGCCCTTGGACAGTCAGCGCAGAGCCTCCTGGGAAGCGTAGTCTTTTTCTGACTCGTGCAAGCCCCACCTTCCTCTGTGTAAATCCCAGTTTTCTTCTTGAAAATTATTTTTTCTCTTTTTAAAACATTTATGCCCATCTGGTGTGACTCAGTGGCTGAGCTTTCAACTATGAACCAGGTCACAGCTCCATTCCCAGCCCCAGGACTTTGCTGGGGTTGGGGGCTCAATCCCCAGTAGGGGGCGTGTAGGAGGTGCCCACTATGGTTCTCTCATCATTGATGTTTCTCTCCCTCGCCCTCTCTCTGAAATCAATAAAAACATATTTTTAAAAAAACTTACTGATTTTGGAGAGGAAAAAAAAAACTTGTTGCTTTACCCATTTATGCATCCATTGGTTGATTCTTGTATGTGCCCTGACTCGGATCAAACACAACCTTGGCAACCTTGGCGTATAAGGACAATACTCTAACCAACTGACATACCGGGTCAGGGCCTTGAAAATTTTTTCAATGATATATTTTTTAATTAAAAAATGTGTTTTCTATTACAGTTGACATACAATATTAGTTTCAGGTGTAGAATGGTACATTCTTATTTTTAAAAATTAAAATTATTCCCAAAATATTTTTTTATATTGACAAAGAGGTTATTTTATTTATTTTATTATTTTTAAAAAATATATTTTATTGATTTTTTAAAGAGAGGAAGGGAGAGGGATAGAGAGTCAGAAACATCGATGAAAGAGAAACATCTATCAGCCACCTCCTGTACACCTCCCACCGGGGATGTACCCGCAACCAAGGTACATGCCCTTGACCAGAGTCGAACCTGGGACCCTCCAGTCCACTGGCCGACGTTCTATCCACCGAGCCAAACCAGTTAGGGCTCTTTTATTTTTTTTAAGGTTTTTTTTAAAGATATTTTTATTGATTTCAGAGAGGAAGGGAGAGGGATAGAGAGAGAGAGAAACATCAATGATGAGAATCATTGATAGGCTGCCTCCTGCACGCCCCCTACTGGGGACCGAGCCCACAACCCAGGCATGTGCCCTTGACTGGAATCAAACCCAGGACCCTTCAGTCCACAAGCCGATGCTCTATCCACTGAACTAAACCAGCCAGGGCAGGGGAGGTTCTTTTAAATTTTACTAGGGATATCAACTCTTCCTCAAATGAATTAAAGATATTTTATATGAATTTGTGGTTTGTCTTCCAAACCTGTGTATTTTGATTTTTTTTAAATATATTTTTATTTATTGCAGAGAGGAAGGGAGAGGGAGAGATAGAAACACCAATGATGAGAATCATTGCTCGGCTGCCTCCTGCACACCCCCCACTGGGGATCGAGCCCGCAACTCAGGCATGTGTCCTTGACTGGAATCGAACCTGGGACCCTTCAGTCTGCAGGCCGACGCTCTATCCACTGAGCCAAACCAGCTAGGGCTGATTTTTATTACACAGATGAATTTATTTTGTGCAGTGAAATTTACCAATCCTTTATTTTTACGTCTTTTAGTTTTCATAATACTTTTTGGGTTTCTTAACTCTTCTCTAATGTTTATTTGCATAGATATGTTCTGTCAAGTGCCCTCAAAAAACAAACACATACGAACTGGAGATTAAGATTAAAATTGCATTTAATTCATAGATTTGAGAAAGAGAAAAATATCCCCGACATCGGGAGCTGGCTTTGGTGTTCTGTCGGACACAATAATTCCATAGATTACAGACAAGGCCATGAGGACCAAAAGGAAAACAAGGTCACTCTGTAATCTGGTGAACTTGGCCAAAAGCAAAAACCGTCCAAACCACAAAAATGATGAAACATCCTTCTATCTTGGATTATATGTGATTTGCTTCTTTACCAATTATAGCTTTAGCCTCCACCTAGTGAAGATGTTAACATTATTCCATCATAGAAATACTTCCACTTCCTAACAAGCATCCAATCCAGAGAAAAGCGCTGCTTCATTAAACCCTCCCCCAAATCACCTAACACAAGCACAGACCCTATAAATCCTTCCTACATTCATTCACCTACAGATGTGCTCCTGGTGGTCTTGGGCCAGAGAGTATTGACATATTAATTTAGAGAATCTTGTTTTAGTTTTCTATCAAGAATAAGATACATAAACCTGGCTGGTGTGGCTCAGTTGGTTGAGCGTCATTCCATGCACCAAAAGGTTGCTGGTTCAGCTCCTGGTCAGGGCACATGCCTGGGTTATGGGCTTAATCCCCAGTAGGGGATGTGTAGGAGGAAGCAGCCAAATAATGTTTCTCTCCCTCCCTCTAAAATCAATTTTAAAAAGTTTAAAAATAAGATACATAGTACCAATTACATCTTCTTTTATGTCTGTACAGTTGAGGTTTTCTTAATACACAATAGTTTTTATTTTTTTTATTTTTATTTTTTTTTAATATATTTTATTGATTTTTTACAGAGAGGAAGGGAGAGAGACAGAGAGTTAGAAACATCGATGAGAGAGAAACATCGATCAGCTGCCTCCTGCACACCCCCCACTGGGGATGTGCCCGCAACCCAGGTACATGCCCTTGACCGGAATCGAACCTGGGGCCTCTCAGTCCGCAGGCCGACGCTCTATCCACTGAGCCAAACCGGTTTCGGCGTTTTTATTTTTTTAAAAAGTGTTTTAATTGATTTTTACAAAGAGAGAAAGGGAGATGGATAGAGAGATGGAAATATCAATGAGAGAGAAACCTCATCGACCAGCTGCCTCCTGCATGCTCCGCACAGGGGATTGAGCCTGCAACTTAGGCATGTGCCCTGACCAGGAATCGAACCAGCGACCTCTTGGTTCCTGGCTTGACGCTCATCTGCTGAGCTACACCAGCTGGGCAATAGTTATATTTTAAAGTGTATTCCTAGATCTTTTTTTCCATTTTACCTACTGAGGTTGGCAGACCTCACATATGGTCTCTGTCACAATTGCTCAACTTTGTCATTGTAGCATAAAAACAGCCATAGACAATATGTAAATGAATGGGCATGGCTGTGTTCCAGTAAAACTTTTTTTTAAAATATATTTTTATTGCCCTGACCGGTTTGGCTCAGTGGATAGAGCGTCAGCCTGTGGACTGAAGGGTCCGAGGTTCGATTCCAGTCAAGGGCATGTACCTTGGTTGCGGGAACATCCCCAGTAGAAGGTGTGCAGGAGGCAGCTGATTGATGTTCTCTGATCATTGATGTTTCTAACTCTCTATCCTCTCTGTAAAAAATCAACAAAATATATTACATATATATATTGATTTCAGAGAGGAAGGGAGAGGGAGAGATAGAAACATCAATGAGAATCATTGATTGGCTCCCTCCTGCACACCCCCTACTGGGGATGAGCCTGCAACCTTGACTGGAATCGAGTCCACATGCTCTATCCACTGAGCCAAACCAGTTAGGGCCCAATAAAACTTTATTTGCAAAATCTAGCAGCGGGAAACCAAAACATTTGTGTGACTCACTTTATTGCAATATTCGCTTGATTGCGGTGGTCTGGAACCAAACCCCAGTATATTCAAGGTTGCCTTATTTTGTGTCATTCAAAGAATTTGTCCATTTATCAGATTGGGGACATAGAGTAGTTCATAATATTTCATTATCCTTTTAATGTCCATGGGCTCACTAGTGATGACCCCTCTTTCATTTCTGGTATCAGTAGGCTTCTTGGAATGGGTCCAGAGTGTAATATTAACTGTCCTGTGAATGCTCACCAAAGACCACTTTCTG